GCCTATAATCCCAGCATGTGGGAGGCTGAGGCAGGAGGATCGCTGCCTGGGCTACATAGTTCAAGGCCAGCCTGTGCTACAAAAAAAAACGAGAGCCTATATAAAAAACGAACAAACAAAAAAGGACTTTAAATATGTTGTTTCAGTATTCACAATGTCCTAGCAAGGCAGGTAGTACACCCTCCATTTTATAAAGACAGAAATTGTTCAGAAAAGTTCAACCACAATAGTCAGGAAGTGGCAGATGTGGAATTCAAACCATGTCTGTCTGGCCCCAAAGCCCATATGTTTAATTTGTAAGATATTCTGTTATTTAAAACTCCTGCTATTTATTGAGAATCTACTATGCTGGACATTTTTATAAGCAGCCCCAGGCTTTGTCCTTAAAACCTTTTGGGAATATAGGTAAGTGCCCCCCGCCTTTTTTTTTTTTTTACAGAGGAAGAGCAGAGTCCTTGAGAGGGAAAATTACTACTCAGCAATAGCTTGAATTACCTGACCTGACTGTAGAGCCCAACCATGGTGTAGCACTGAGGAAGGAGCTGGAGCCAGGAGATAGAAGTTCTAATCTGGCAGAGTGATTTTGAACAAATACTTGCCCCTGTCTGGGCTTTAGTTTGTCTGGCCAGAATAATCTCTAAGAGTCCTCTGAAGCCCTGTTTGTAGACCTGACTAGCTCTTCTCTCTGGGCAGGGGTGGATGACCATCCCGAGGAGCTGAGTCTGCCAGCACTCACACCAGACAGGACAACATCCCGGACTTCCTCCTCGTCCTCTGACTCCTCCACCAACCTGCACAGTCCAAATCCGAGCGACGGTGGAGCAGACACACCCTTGGCACAGTCTGATGAGGAGGAGGATGGGGGTGAAGAAGCACAGCCCAGAACCTGCAGCTAGCAGAGGGCCCCACCTGCAGACTGACCGAGCTGGCTTTCCACATGGAACCCTAGACCCGGCCAGAGCCCTTCAGGAGAATCCAGACACTTGCAGTGGGCACCAAAGGGAAGGAAGGATGGTGGGACGGTGCCTCTCTGAGAATTAACCTTCTGCTTTACTGCTAACCTTCTCCTGCTGCAACCTTCCCACCAGTTTTTGGCTTACTCCTGGGCTAGGACTTGCAAGTGAGGAGATGGAAGATGAGGTAGGACAGGATGCCGCTGCTTTTCTTAGCATACCTCCCTCCCCCACTCTATCCTGTAGTCTCTAGTCGGCTCCTAAACTAGTGTCTCTAAGTGGATGGGAACTCATTAGCACTCCAGCAAGGTGGTACTCCCAATTCTTTTGCCTCCTTACGTCTTTTTTGGAAAAGGACATGGTATAAATAATAAACAAGTAACATACCAACCATTCCACTCATTTTTCATACCACAGTGATAGCAAACCCACTGTATCTTTAGCTCTCTGACACCATATCTCCAGCACTCATTTACTCCATTTTTTTTTTCAAGAAATATTATTGGACACCTGTGCTGGGCATTTGGAATATAGATAATGCTGAGCAAGAACTGTATTCCCCTCATCCTAAGGTTTAGTGTCTATGTAAGAGAATATCGGTATCACAACTCACAGTGTAGTAAAGATCATGAAGCGGCACTATTATTCTGGTACCAGAAAACAGGGGTATCTTAACCTAGCTGGGATGGTAATTAAGGAGCTGGTTTCTAAGCAGAAATCTCAAGGATGACTAGGAATTAATCAGGTCGAGCAAGGGGTGCAGGGGGGACCTGATTCAGGCAGAAGGGGCAGCTTGTAAAGACTTTAAATGGAGCTAATATAGCTGCGAGGAACTGAAACCATGTTTGGCAAAATGATTGGATTGAAAAACATGAAGAGAGGTAAGACTGACAAAGGTCAGGTTGTGAAATGTTCTGAAGCCTGTATTAGGTTTCAATTTGACTGCTAGTAAAAGATCATGACATAAGCTATAAATGTATGTATTTCCTCATATAAAAGAAATCCAAAATACACGCTGTGAAGTTCTGTAGTTACTAAGGCTTGGTCTTTTGGGGCCCTTTTTTTTTTTCTCTCCCCTAGCAGTAGAGACTGAACCCAGGGAATGCAGAGCTACCCAGCCCTTTTTATTTTTTTTTTTTTAGTTTGAGCCAGGGTTTCATCGTGTTACTCAGGCCTCAAATTTATATGTGCCCCAGTCCCTGAAGTAGCTGGGATTACAGGGATGTGCCACCATGCTTGGCTTTTTTGGGTCTCTTTGCTCAGACATCCAAGGCATATGACTTGCATTCTACTGAGGGGTCGTCGGAATGGCTGTCATAGTCCAGGCCACCATGACTTTGAAATGGGCAAAAAGCAGACTGGGGGATGGGCAGAGAGTGCAGCTTGGTGTGTATTCCCACTTTAAGAACCATTTTGGAAATTCCAAGAAATAGCATCTGCTTTCATCTTACTGGCCAGAACCTGGCAGCATAGGAAATGTTTCATTTGTGGACACTTTCATAGACATAGGAACAAAATATCTAGAAGAAAGGAAATTCTGGTTTTTGGAAAGATAATAACCCTTTCAAGTCACTGATTTAGCAATGTGTCCAATTTCTGTACTGTTAGATCTCTGAGAAGCACCCTGGGCACTGTGAATGGGGTACTGGGGTAGTGCATTAGTAGGTACTCTGTTACCTGACAGAAGCAAGGTTTGTTACTAAAGACTTAAGAGTATAGTAGTCACTGGATTGGTCATTAGCAGTTTACATGTTAGAGGTCATATTAAAGAGTTCACAGTTTATTGAGCGTAATTAAGGGATTACAA